CAGTTTTCGAATAACTCTAGCATGCTATTCCATATTAAAGTTTTATGATTCAAGGGTGGGCATTTGACCAGTAAGTCACGACTAGTATAAAACACGACCCGGATAAGTGGGTGATCAATTAAGACTGACATATCAACCCAGGGCGTGTTTGTGACTAAATGACCCATACCCGACTAAACATTATATGAGATCTCTTATTTTCAGTGTTTTAAACATATATATTTTTAAAGTTGTGACTTTTATTATAAAGCATTAATATATGTCATAAATATATGTCAATATATGATTTTATTCACGCAAACCATGAACTCATTGAGTTTTATAAGCTGACTATAGTATGCATCTCAGGACCAGGTAGTTCGAGGTTGGATAAGGGCAAAGGGCACGCTTAGAGAGTTGCTAATTATCATCTTATTTTTAGTTTTTTGTCTAGCAGCGTTGTGTCGATCTTTTGTAACTTAACCTGGTATGAGGTGGGTTAGAATTTAAGTTAATTTTTGGTCGATTCAAAGACTTCTGCTGTAAATGGTTCAAACGGTTTTATTTTAGCCGTTTTTTGGAGTATTTATTTAGGAATTTGTTTCGGATTACGTAACATTCTCAAAAAAAAAAAAAATGAGGGTGTTACAAACTGTGATGACACTTTCGGGACTTTGGATCAACTAGTCCCATTTTTTTACATTTATCTTCACCTTAAGTTATTTTCATGAACTATTACATACATTTAATCATTTTCATGTGTATGTACTTGTTAAAGTTTTGGTCATGATTATAAAAATAGGTAAAATGATTAGCCAAAGGTATATGAATGTATTAAACAATATATTAAATATAAAAATATCTGTGATAGGTGTTAATTTATTAACCCTATTAAATAATTTCTTTTATCATTTTCTCTTATTTTATTTGTCCATTTGTCTAAATTAAGTCTTTTTGTGTCATTTTATGTAGTTTCTTACTTTTATATAAATTAGTAGTATTATGTCATAATCTGATGTTATTTTGTCATTTATGCAGATTTTTAAGGTTTTCTGGTCAGTCCTATAACAGTCCTACAAGATTCTTTTTGGTAGTGTAACAGTCCTACAGGAACAGGCAGTAGGCTACATTTTTGTTTTGAGCCTAAACCATGGGCTCACAAGATTTCCTGCAGAATTAAGGCTTGGGCCTTAGTCTAGCTTACTTTATAAGTTTTCTTTTGTACTTCTAACCTATCTTTTAATGTAAGTTTTAATCTCCTTATAATTTATAAATAAGAGTTGTTCCCAAGTTTTAAACATAACTTTTTAACCTTTGGGTTTATTATTTTCTATCTGGTATTTTAGCTTTCGGTTTCTTTACATAATCAAGAACCGAAAATTGTCATCAAAGTGTATTTTGTGCTCAAGCATTAATCTAAGTTCAAGCGTTCAAGTTTCATCTCTTTCTTTCTTACTTGCAATTTTCAAAAGCTTTTTATTTTTAATTACAAGATGAAATTAATCGATTATTGTTGCAATACATTGGATTTCATCATTTGCGGCTCACGATTAATTTCCTTAGATAAAAATCTGTTTTCCAAGTATTGCAAGTAATTTCTCACTTTTAGTGACGAAACTTGTTTTGCATGTTTCATGACTTAAAGTGCAAGTTTCCTTAACTTCTTCTTTACAAGTCCTTACTTTACTTTATGTCATCTCTTTTAGAGTAATTTTAATTCCAATATTTATTTTACTTTAATTTTTAGTATTTAATTTATAGTATTTTACTTTGTACTTTAATTTTCAGTATATTAATTACTACGCTTTACTTTTATGCAATTTACATTCCAGCAATTTAATTTCCATCACTTATATTTTTGCACTTTAATTTCCAATATTTCAATTTCCAGTAATTTAATTTATGCAATTTACTTTTCCGCATCAGCTATTTATTTTTCAGTTTTTACATCTTTCGCAAGAAAAAAACTGAGCGATGATGGGCTAAAAATGTTAGCTTGGGTGTAAGAAAAAATTAAGACCAAAGCCGATGTGAAGTACATAGGTGTCTTATTAGCATTATTGTCCAACTATTTGTTTCAGTTGATTAATATTTCATTGAAGATCACATTAAAATTAATTGACAACTAATTTTATGTATGAAAATGCATTAACTTTTAGAGTAAGAAAATCTGATATAATAGGAGAATGCTATATAAAAAGTTTTAGTATCTGACAAGTACCATACTCCTACGGTATAGAATGGTAACACTGTGTTGTGCTAGGATTCACGACGTCTAACATAAATGATATCGTATCGATAGCACGTTGGCATGTGTGTACTGAGAGGTCGTCTAACCCGATAGTTGATATTGTGATAATTCTATAAAATCATCCTATGGTTTTATAAAATTGTGTCAGGTGTGCTATGTCATCTTTATACTAGATCATCTGTTTTGTGTCTTAATCAACCTTTGCACCATGTGCTTCTTTTTAAGACTGATATTTTCTTAGTTGCTAATCAAACCTTCCAATTTTAGATAAAACAAATCCCTCGAATTCATCATCTGAAATTAGTTTTTATAAACTGAACTCTTTATGAACTTTACAAAACATTCTCTGTGGGAACAATATCTGGTACTTATACCATTATTACTTGTTACAAGACAATAGAAGTTCAGGATGTATACTTGCGTCGAGTTCTATTTTTATGTTGAAATCTTAAACCGAACGAGCAACTTGTATATCCAATTTTTTTAATAAAAATACAAAATGACCAAAATGCCCTCTCAATTAACTTACACTCCATTAGAGATGGCCAAAATCCGGTCTCGGGCCGGTCCTTAACCGGTCCCTACCGGTCCTAATCAAGACAAAAACCGGTGGTAACCGGTCCCGCCATAACCGGTCCCGGTTCCGGTGAAATACCTTGTAACCGGTCAAGCTTACCGGTAACCGGTTAAGGAATCCGGTCCCGGCCAAAAAAATATTTTTTTCCCAAATTTTTGTTTATTAATAAATTTTTAATATGTTATTAATATGTTTGTAATATGTTATTTTTAATATGTTTTATATAAATACGTTTAAAAATATGTTTTGTTATAATATATATATATATATATATATATATATATACGTTTAATTTTATAAATACGTTTAAAAATATGTTTTGTTATATATATATGTATAGATATACGTTTAATTTTATAAAGTGGACAATCCCTTATTCCAGCTTTAGGGCAAAAATCATGTTTTAAGTCAAATGTAAACAAAAGTTGCGACTTTTAGACTTATTAAAACATAGTTATGACTTTTAGATTTTCGATGCAACCATAGGGACCAAAAATGTACTCTGCTCTCTATATTATATCATGGAACATTTAGATTTATCTACTAAAGAACTCCTAAATTTTCAAAATTACAACTATTAAAAGATTATGTACAAATTAATATGCTTACAAATTCTTTCGGTATAAAAATACTCCTATTTTACCCAAAAAAAAAATTTTGATTAACCTGGATATCCAACCCGCTATGCGAGCCGACTAATCCTAGGGCGACCACTTACTTTGCAGATAGCCTGGAGTCACCGCATTTAAACCTTCGTGGCCACAAGGGAATTTTCAATAAGCATGAAAATTTAAAGGGTTTTTGAAAACTAATATTACCCTTTAAACTAACCGAAGGGTTGCCCCTCCTTCCACCCATAGAGAGAGCCGTCAAGTTCCATACATAAAGAGGGGTAGGCGAGTGGATGGAAGTGACTCGTTGGGCGATGGTAAGCTGATTCGTTTCTCGAATGATGTTGCACAAATCATCTTTTGGATTCCTACAAATTTATCCCCATGTATATATCGAAAAAGACAAAATATGGATGTATTATGTTACACACGTACAGTTATATAGGTACATATAAACATATCACATCTAAAATGTTATACAACATAATAAACCTACATTATGCATCGAAATAAGACTAACTGGAAATAAACAACCAAACGACAGAACAATTTTGGCATCTAAACACAATCCGTGAATGCATCAGAACGTAGGATCGTTTGAATGCGTTACCAGATATCTAAATATGAGTGATGACAATATAATTGATCAGATACCTATCAAAATCAATAGAACGATATGTATACTCGTAGGAAGCCCATGCAAGGGGGTGTTCAGTTCATCTTTCATCAAGTACCGTTGGATTATGTTGTCTATATGATTATGATAAGTTATTCAATTGTTGTACTGAATAAACCGTCTGAATGTCAAAAATAACCATTTTACCCCTTAGTTTATATTTTTGTATGATTAAACAAAAAGAGCCGACATCATAAATATATAAATTCTATATTAAACTTGCAAACATCAATATTCATAAGTGCACCCTTTTATGCACCTAATTAAACTAGTCAATCTTTTCATTACCAATATACATGCACCATTTACTCACCATAACATTTGTTTGCAAAAAGTTTTGACCAATGTTTATATGGCTTATCAAATAAGCTATATGGGCTATTAAGCCCATTACATCACTACCCAACAGGCCCTAAATAGCAAACACCCACCGGAATCTTATCAAGTAGACATTATCAATTCAAAATCAACCATCATTACCGTTTACAAGACCAGGCTGCATAGTCAGATTTACACAGTAGTTTGGAAAAAGGCCGAAATGTACCGATACAACAAAGTTTGTCTTAGGGCTGTTTCACTAAATACTTACCGGACAAGTACTTACCAGTATCACTTACTTTACCGATTAAGCATGGCAAAGACCGAGATTCTTACCCAGTGAGGGAAAAAACTCTTACCCATTAAACACTTACCGGGTTTAAGATACCTACAATCCATTTTGATGACCGAAAATGTTACACGATAAGATAAGTAAGGGCTTGGTAAACGGCCCCTTAGTTTTTATTTAGTGTAACAATAACTTTTTTCTCAATTAATATAACAAATGTTCACTTCCTCTTTGTTACACATTTTGACCTTTCTTGATGCAAGTGAATGCAACAAAAAGAACCGAAAATAAGGAATCATGTACCAGCAACCAATGGATCTTCTTACTATTGATGACGTGCAAAAATACATCGTAATCAACTCATGTCACATAGGCTGAAAACTCTAATTTTGAATGATTCAAGTCCCCAAACTCTTTCTTCAATAAATAAACCATTGAACTTTTAGAAAGTGGTTCCTTCCATTCTTTTAACTTAAAAAAAACGACCTGTAACCGGCTAGAAAGGTTTAAAATATAGAAAAGTATATGCAAACTTAATGAGGAAGTGACACAGATATCATCTCAAACCTCCCATTATCCCAGTTGTTGGTCATATCAATTCTAAGTTTGAACTTCAAAGGGCTGTTGTTCCCTGGTTGCAACAATAATGCTTTCAGAAGTATTAACCAGAGTGAGTAAAAGTTGATACCTTCATTTCTACAGGCTTGCTTTTTATAGCTGGTGTAAACACTCTCTGCTTTCATGTTTCCAACCAACAATTCAGCAGCTTTGTTTTTTACAACAACAGGAATACATGTCGAATCATCCCATATGTACAACTGCATATCAAAAAATATGGTTTTAGCGGTCCTTGTCCCTTTTCTGAAAATTCAATAGAAGTGTCCTTGTGGTTGCTTTTTTTAACGAGTTGGGTCCCTGTGGTTGCTTTTTTTAACGAGTTGGGTCCCTGTGGTTGCATTTTTTTTCAATGAGTTGGGTTGCATTAAGGACCCAGCTCGTTGTAAAAATGCAACCACAGGGACACAACCCGTTGAATTTTCAGAAAAGGGTCAAGGACTGGTTAAAACATATAACCACAGGAACGAAACATGTAATTTACTCAAAAATAATTAACGTAAGAAACATGCTTTTCGATCTGCTCGCACTAAAATCCATATACTCTCTTTTAATCCTAAATGTAGTTTAAGGCAACATCCGTTTCATTGCAAGGGCCCATTTCACTCAACATCTTGGATAGAACAAGTTCCCAAGTGTTTTACAAACGATAACCTGAATCATTTAGGGATATGACTTCGAATGAGTTTTTACTTAAATTCATGACCCTGTGACCTATTAAAGAAAAAATGGCTTTATACTTATGAGAAGGTCATATGTTTAATTAAAATCTCATTTAAGTTTATATACCTAAAAATCCCTGATAACCTTTTATTCATGATCTAGAAAATGTGCTACCTTCCAAGACTACTGATTTCAGAGACATGGACAATTAAAAATTTAGAATGTGCATTAAATGATATCTTATTTTCAAGAAAGCAGCATTTCAAGTAAAACGCAGTTAATTAAGAAAGAAGGCGTACCAGGAAGGGTCTGTATATGAAGCTTACAATATGGAGACGGTTAGAGCTTTTTTGACAATAAAGTGGAGGGGTTTCTTGTTCAATTCTAGATCTGTATTCACAAATTAAATTTTATTATTATCAGAAGCCTGTTACACACACAAACATAACTATAAGTCTATAACTACAAGCAAAGCATTATTATGCATACCCGAATTCAGAATTCAAAGGAGCACCGCATAACTGACAGCCAGTACAAAGGAGATCTTCAGCTAGGTTTTCATAAGCACAAGATATTCTACTTCTGATAAACATCCTTTCCTCCTCAAACTCACTGCTGGTGGTTGTAGGCAGAAACATTTCACCAATAGAGGCAAATAAGGATACATTGCATGAATCATTTAGATTTGATACTTCCAGTAGAGACAAACAATCCTTAGTTTGCATCTCCTCTGGGAGTTTCCAGTTCGATGAATTCTGATTCTTCTGCATGGAAACTTGTTATATGAAGTTCTATCCTTTTCAAGATAACATAACATAAGATGATCCACCCCGAGGGGGTGTTTGGTTCGATGGAATGGTTTTGAGGGATTTGGATTTGGAATCTTTGGTGTGCTTGGTTTGTAGGATTTGGAACAGAATTGAAGTCCAATCTTTATAAAGAATTTATAAAAACAAATTATAAATAATTAAATTACCTTTTTATTAATTGATTATTACAAAACAATTTTTTTAACAATATTGCAGACAAATCCTACGAAATCCAATGAAATACCAACTACCCCCATGGGATTTCAAAATCCTATGTTTATGGGATTTCAACCCAGAAAACACTTCAAACCAAACATGGGATTGGTCCCTCCAAATCCAATCCAATCCTACAAAACAGGCGGGACCTCAAACTTCACATCATTAGCAAAGTGATCAGTGAAGCAAAATACTTGAAACTGCAATACACAGGCTAAAACTGAAAATATATATATTTAATACAAAAATCTCAAAGACATGATAATTGGAAAAGTATAAGAATGATTAGCAGAAACTGAGTAACCTAATCTATCAATAGGCTTACAGGACATAGATTTATCTTTTTGTTAGGCAAATAGGAACATTAGGGATAGCAGGGACTTTGGTAGAACTCATGAAAGCCTATTAAGAAACATACCATCAACATTAATTAACCTCATATCTAATATTCCTTCGATATATGTCAAACATGTTAGATCCTATTTTTTGATGATTGACTACTAAACACTAAAATACACAAAAAAATTATGTAACATTGATCAACCGATGCTGAGATCCAATAAAGACTTCTAGTGACGCTGAAGATCCAATGAAGTCGTTCAACGAAATTTAATTTCTGAGGATCTGCCGCTTGAAAGTGCCCAATGCAAGACGCTAAAGAATGATACACACCAAGACAGTCATCACAGAAGAGCATGAACGCCATGATCCCGCCTTGAAGGCTAAGAGACATCTAACATCGAAGTAGACCACAGGTGGCCAAGACTGAAGATGGCTCTAACATCAAAGATCAAGACTGAAGGTCCAAATGATGAAGTGTCTAACACTACTGCTTGCAATGCTGATGGGTGTTCAACACTGACGACGACTTCATTATGTACCTACATGACAAAATGACCAAGTAGCCTCCTAGTCAGCACCTCACAGTAAGTACAAGTACTTTCTTTGCATTAAATGTGCATTGAATACTTATTTCAAAAAGAGGTAAGACGCATGCTAAGGACGCTGACATATTCTTTCTAGTCAACTCTTTGTCGAAAAAGTGCAAAACTTTTGGACAAAAGGCTCTGAAAAGTAGCACACAAAGGACAAAAAAATTCACCAATACATGGAAATCTGGAGAGTACATGCTTATACATATTCAAATATCTTACCGTTCATCTTCTAATTCATTGTACAAACTGTTGTAGAGAGAACACAACGTTAAACCAATGAAGAACTCCTAAGGCTGCGATAGGACCTAAAGTAAATGTTATTGATTAAATAACCGAAAACTAACAAACTGTAAACTGCCAAGGAAATACTATGACTTTTGCCTAGCCTATAACGTCTTCCCTACCCTCTATTTATAATTGATTATAGGGAATCCTAATACAATAAGAAACTATTTGGAATTTTTAAAATACCAATTAAGTTTGAGAGAGTTGGATAAGATAGCAATTATCCTTTACTGTCACCTTAAACATGTTTTCCAACCCTTCTCATTGCTCCGGTCCCTAAAAGGCACCTTGTCCTCAAAATAAAAATGTGGAAATTGGTTGTTCAATCATGTTTTGTCCTCTACTAACTACGCCTACTTCATGGCTTCAACCAACCCTCTTGGTCTAGCTAGCCTTACCACTGCTCGAATGCTAGGTTTTAGCCCTTCACTGCTAGCACCTCATCCTGTATTGCTCCCAATTGTCCGCATAACATCTCAACTCACTCATGGTAGTATCATCTCGAGTGAGGGAAAAAATCGCTGGTTGATCCCCTTCTCTAGTCGTCTGCAGTCGCTCCAAGATGGCTTCTCTAGCTTTGGTCCATGTATGTAATATCAACCATTTCTCTATCCATTTATGCCGGTGTAAAGCTTTCCCGTCCATATAAACCTCCACAGTTAACATCCTTTCCCTCTCGCTAACCCCATTTACATTGATGTAACATTCGACTTGATATTAACTTCCACATCCTCCCATCAAAAACCAATATTCGTAATTTGCGGAACCGCAAATCCGTCCTATAATTGTTATGTACTCCTTGGCCCTCCACTCATAAGGTTCTACTTCGTTCCATGGATAAATTGGGTTCCCGGCCAATTCTCTCAATTACTACCTAGCCCAAACCCAAGTGGTTCTTGCCCCGCACAAGTTGGGCCTTGTCTCCTCCCATTGTCTCCCGAAATTCCCATATTCAACCCATTCGATCGCATTCCCAAGTGATTCCAGCCACCAATGACACTCGCATTCTTCTACCCAAAGATCATTTATGAGTCCAAAATCTTAGAAGTTCAAAGCGTCGTTTTGTTAAATCTGTAGAGTATTTCTAGCTTAGATGCCTAAATTGTGATTGATGTTGACCTTCGAGACAAACAATTGGTATTAGAGTAGATAAAACTTGTTTGTTTAGATCTGTCATGGCTTTATGCATTTTACGGATCTGGGCACTTTTGAAACTGGCTCTGGTAACAAACCCCATCTCTTACCAGGGGAAATTACTCATTGTAGAAAAATAGATTGGTCAATCTTTCTTGATGGTATAGATTCTGAACTATTTGAGGTTATCCAGGATGAAAAGTATATACTTACGCTCAATATTGATTATCTTCCTCGTGTTGGAAATGTTCCTCGAACTCTTGCCATCTCCCCTCCTAAGACATCCAGATAGACGAACGATGAGCTCAGGATGTTCAATGCAGATGCAAAAGCTAAAAGCTATTTGGTTATGTCTCGTCCCAATCAGATATATCATTAAGGTACAAACTGCATATCTGCAAAAGAGATTTGGGATACCATCGCTGTCTTGTTCGAGGGTACGGACCAGGTGAGAAATCAAAAGAGAAATCTCCTTGTTCAACAATATGAACTCTTCCCACCTAAATCCGTTGAAACCTTTACTTTGACTTATGATAGGTTTAATTGTCTCATTAATGAATTGAAACAATGTGAAATGACGTTTAACAATCCTGAGACGTTGATTATGTTCATTTGATGCTTATCTCTTGCGTGGAAGTTTGTGACTGATCCATGAGAGTTTCAAAAGACTTGAAGACTGTCTCTTCAGACTCTCTATGGCCGTCTTATGACTTACGAAACCAAGGTAACCCAGAAAACATGGAGTAGTAGGAATTTGCATGATAAATCTCTTTCCTTCATGAGCACGTCACATGAAGCCCTATATGAAAATCAATTTTAAGTACCGACTTTCAGTTATGAAGAACATGAGGAGAGAACCACAACTACATGCAATGGTGAAGACGAAGCCATGTATCATGGTCTCAATAATTCCATAGCACTTCTTGCCATGAAGTACAAAACACTTCGTAAAAAGAAAACCCTTCATTAATCCATGGGGAACAACCAAATGTTTTGAAAGAAAGGTCGTAAGATATGCAAGAAGGATTGTGACTGACAAAGCCAATGCTGAAGGTTACAAATGTAAAAAAACACGGAGTGAAAGTAGAGACGGAATAAAAACTTAGAATACTACAGGACCAAGTACAAGAAGTATAAGGCAGGAGTGGGAAAAGAACTGCAGATGCAAAAGGTCTATCTGCAGAAGGGTGGACAAAATATTTTTCATCAACTTCATTAGATGGTGAGGGGAAGCTGTTTGCCCAGATGTGCTTGATGGCTTCAAGTTCAGAAGAAACTATTGAAGTCTAGTGTGAAGCAAGTAATTGAGAAATCATTGAAAACTATGCCAGTGAAAAATCCAAACGCATTGGTGCCAAAAGGCAAGGCTTCAGTATCACCCAGCAACTCAAATCTAAAGGTAAAACATCAGTAACACCGAGTCCATCCGTCACAAGACCTTTGGTAGATACGCCACTAGTTCCTTCAGCAGTGAGCAAAGCTTCTACCAATAAATCTGACGCCAAGAAAAACATTTCTCAGCAGAAGGAACCTTCGGGTTGTGTTCCTAGGATTACCATCACTCTTAGGGAGGAAGTTACTTTTGACACCGGAAAGGTGACAAAAGAAGAAGCTTGCACATGCACAACTATACACCAAGTTAAATATCTTTATGTGCACAAGGAATATTACAATTGTGGTAGCACCGAACATTTCGCAAGAGATTGCTCAGTGTTAGACCATCTCGGCGAACCAATTCACCAAAACAAAGGGAAGAAGAAATAGCCTGTCAAAGCTAAAATCCCAAAACCTATTTCTAACCCCATGATCCATAATGAGATGAGTACCTAAAAGAGAACAAATCACAGGGGTCTTAAAACATGTAGATTTTGAGCATTTGTTCAACATATATGACTGGCGATAATTCCCTGAAACCCCAATTCAGAGTCATAGAAGGTCCATGTGTGACTTTTGAAGACAATGGAGAGGCATACAACAAAGATTATGGCTCACTTACCAATGACACTATAACCTTTACCAAAGCTGTTTATGTTGACAGTCTTAAACATGAACAACTGAGTATTAAGTCAACTCTGTTATTGATTTCCTGGTAAACTAATAATAATAATCACTAAAACAAGCACAAGATGGGAAGTGATTTGCAAAAACAATACCTTGCGGTTGTGGGATACATGCTTATTGAGAGTAGGTCCTGCTCGCAGCACCCATGCAATAACTTTCCTAAGTTTTTCCTTTGTTGCAAGTCCAATATGAGAAGTCATCATCAAATTGTTTGTACCTATGTAAACAAAGTAAAATCCAAATCTTCAAGTGAGTAAGCCACATATGTTATGATGGGACATGTATTACAAAATTACTAAAACAATCGAGCACATGTTCTTTTGCTTCATACTTTGCAAAAGTTGAATTGATGAGGCCACTTGATAGGGCTCATCAGTTTTGTTAATTAATTATTTTTCGGTTTCAAACTTCTTTCAATATCATATTCCTGATTTGCATGTTTATTGACAAAATAGCACCTTCGCTATCATTTTGTAGAGGAGATGGTGATTGTTAGGTAGTCATGAGTTTAAGAGATCTATTAAGATGCAATGTTGGAGATGATGTTTCTAATTATGAAAGTTTATTGCCTATGGTTGAGTGTAAATATATCTACTCCGTGAACCATGTCCATTCACAATCCTTGTGTGCCACATTCCCATTGCAATTCCACATCAGTTTTTGAGCTCCCTATTCTTTCTACCTAGTCTTTGTCACATCACATCCATTTTGAGGTGGCTAGATCAAGGAAGGACATTTTCCTCTCTCAAAAGATGTACATGATACCTTTTTACTTGCATTGACATCAAAACTAGATAAGAATATTCGCTTACAATAAGGTAGCATATGTATTAAACGATAGGAACAAGGGAGTGTCATGGATTTACCAAAAAGCAAGAGCTTGTTGACATGTACTTGATATCTTGGTAAAAGTAGGTATGCTTGATTGTCCAAAAACTGATTTGCCAACAATTCCTAATGTCACGCCTCTTTCCAATGGTGGAAAGACCTTGAGGAATCCAAGATGATAAAGGAGACTAGTGAAAAAACTGGACTACCTCAAAGTCATAAAGGACAGTTCTGTTCTTTGTGAGTCTGGTATGTTGATTCATGTCTTACTCTCATCTTCTTATATCACTCACACAAATATAGTTATAGATATTAAGATATCTCTAAGGCACACGTGGGAAAGGCCTCCACTACACAATAAAAAGGGCAAACATATATTGTTAGGTCCTTTGATGCCCAAAAAAGCACCACATAGAAGGAGATCAATTACAAGATATTGTGCATACTTTGGAATCTTATCTTGTGGGAAAGCAACAATCAGGATGTAGTTATCCAATGTCAACAGAAAACTGAACCATGGCATGTCCCACAAGACTTGACTTGGGTAGAGTGATAATTCTCAGGTATAAGAGTTATTTGCCATCTTTTTTTGAATTGTTTTCATCACATTTTACACCCAATTTTACCTTTCTTTCTCTCCTTTTGGTCTATATTATTTTGAATGGGTGATGAAGTTCCAAACATTCAAAAATCGCCTGGGCTTGTACATACTGCACGTCACACCTCGGGAATAGGTTTCGCTCCGAAATATCTGACCAATGATCACCCATGATTGTTGCCACAGTAGTGACTTCGAACCAAATCTTGATGGAAGATTTCTTTGCTAAAAATGGAAATCTAGAAGTTTAAAAAAGTAGAAAGGAAGAACTACGCTTTCATGAAAGAAATGAAAAATAAGACAGAGCATTGGTCAATGGAAGCTTCAACATGAAGTTTAATTATTAAATTAATTATAATTTAATGAGATTAAATTATTAATTAACTAAAGAGAGAATAACTAATTATAGTTTTACCAAAGGGTCTTTGTCCTACTGGTATTGTAGTCTCTTGGCCTCCTAGGAGATCAGGGGTTCAAACCTCACCAAAGGTGAGGAGGGTGTGTGAGTTTATTTATTGCATTTGCCGTATATAAATATTATATACTTCAAAAAGAAACTAATTATAGTTTTAATAAGATTGAATTATTGATTGAATGAAAGCTTTATAGCTTATGGGCTCAATACCTAATAGGTCGGCTATTAATCTCGATTGTAAACTGAACATATATATGTAAATGATCAGTTGGCCTTGTAGCTGTGATTTACACGTGAAAAGCCACTTTTCATGTAAAGTCACCATCACCTTCTCCCTCTATCCCTATTATAAAATGGCTCTTGAGCCATTTGGAAAGGCATCCCTAGAAACTCTCCACTAAAGTTGCAACATAATTCCACTTTGTTCTCTGCATTTAATTTGTTTAGAAAGTCCGTAGATTTAATTTTTGAAGTCTTCACTTTTCTTGTACACTATCCCACCACTGTCACGACAGTTTATCCTTTATTTTCAATGCAAAAGTAATCTTCTTCTTCTACTATGTTCTTTACTTTAAGTATGAGCTAAGCACCTCTTCGGATGTAGGTGTGAGTCGAACCTAAGATTAGTAGCCAACACTTGGTGTTGTCATCGTTGCTAACTCTTAGGCTTGGTTACTCGAGATCAAATCAAAACAGAAAAACCGATTACTTGAAAGTGTTAATATTAGGTCTTAGACCCAGAGATGGGCAAATTTTGAAATACGCCTTGAGTGATGCAAAAGATTTGTGAAACTCTTTCATAACCACATAGATGTACGGTTTTTTGCATGATTAGTAACTAAGGTTCAAACGTCAGTCAAGAGAAGTGTTACAATAAGATTTGAGCATTCTCTCTATTATGTTAGAACTATGATTCACATAATTATACTTAGGTAGGTCGGCAACCCTTTGGGTGGCAAAAGTAGTGACTTTATGGGGAGACTATGGCCACTTTTTATGGAACTTCACTTTCGAGACAAATGAACTTCTACAGACATTTTTATGACCAGTATCCTTATCCATATCATTACTACCAATGTCTTAGGTAAAACTTACACCCATACTCATTCTTTAATTCATCGTATATATTTTATTGTTGAAAGCACAAATTTGATTACAGAATTATTGATTTTTCTCTAAATTGAAACTTGCACAAGAAGTTAATGAAAATCTCTAATGCTTAGTTGTTTAGTCCTTATGGAAAACAATTTTGTTACCATACTACTTCATTATTTGAGAGTGGTCATAGCGTCTGGTGTGCAGTTACACCACCACTTTGGTGACACTGTGGCCACTTTATGGACATATACATTTTCCACTATCATGTTTTTGGTGCCGTCACCAAGAAGCCTGATTTTACATCCTAAGATATGTTATGAACCAAAACTAACAGGTTGGACCAAATACAATAATAAAATTAGGAAATACTTGGCCAAATTGTATTCAATTCAACCAAAAGAATGGAAAACAATGATAATGACGATGAATGAAACTTCTAGCAATTCGAGAGGCTAGCCTCTCCTATATGAGAAAGGCTAATATTTTGGATACCCTACTATGGCTACTGCCCTACTATTTGTACTAGCCAAAAGACTAATTCGCCACTTTACCCCTCTCTAGCCAAATGACTAACAACCTTTATAGCCCCTAAAGTGGTCCCCTCACCCATCTGATGCGACTGTATTCCTTTCCTCTCAGTAAATCTAATATGTGGATGCATGACAAGATACTGATTTTCATTTGAGCTTGAGTTGCTTGCTTGTCTGAGCACTTCCCATGTTGTATGCCACGACTAGAACACAATGAACTTGTGCCTCTTGATCTAGAAATCGAAAAAAGTTAGGGGACATAGAAGAGGAAATCAGCAACCTCTCATTTTTACTACCGTGAATATAGGTGACGTTGTAGGAGGACGTATTCCCAATGAAGCACCACCGCCTAATCCTCTTGTGAACCAATATACGGTAAATATTGTTGATGATAAGGAAAGAAGAATACACAACTATGCAACACCCAAATTCGATCAATGAACTCAGTAACTCTTAGCCCCAACATAATCGTACAACAATTTGAGCTTAAGCATGTAATGTTTCAAATGATCGAAGCAATGGGTCAATTTGGGGGACTACCCGTTGAAGATCCGCACTCACAGTTAAAGCATTTTTAGCCAAATTCTTTCTTATCAAATGCCCTTCCCCTTGAATGCAAATACTTCTTGAATTCATGGAGTATCATACGTAGCATTAAGGCTAAAACCCTTCACTTTTACATTGAGGAATAGAGCCAAAGCTTGGCTACATTCTCAATCGCCCAATTCCATCACCACTTAGGCTGATCTTGCTGGAAAATTCTTTTAAAAAGAAAACTTCCCTCCGATGAGGAACGTAAAGTTTAGGAATGAGATTTTGCTATTCCAACAGTTTCAAATGCTTGGGAGAAGTTCAAGAAAATTTTAAGTGCCCTCATTATGGAATTGATCATCCCACCCAATTTATAATGCTCTCTCTAACACTCCTAAAATTATCCTCCATGCTACAGTCAGCGGATACAATATACTAGAAAGGTCAAATTGGACACTTCCACCCAAGAATGCATCAGGTATTCATGACGTTGATGCTATCACCGCTTTAACGCACAATCGCACATATTGTCGCTCTCAGTAACTTGGTTAAAAATAATTTGAACCTGAATAGTGAAAAGAACCAGGTGCCTAGAGGTCCCAGGTTCGAATCCAATAAGGAATACCCCTTGTGGCCACGGAGGTTCAAATGCGGTGACTCCAGGCTACCCGCAAAGCGGGTGGTCACCCTGGGATTAGTCGAATTGCATAGCAAGTTGGATATCCTGGTTAATCAAAAAAAAAGAACCAAGTGTAGGCTATAATGACAAATCCTTACGTTAACAAGACACGCATTTTGTGGTGAGAAACATATTTACGACTGTTTTCTGATCCTCCCATATACGTCAACTATGTAGGAAACCATGCTAGGAATAGTCCGTGCTCACAAACCTACAACTTGAATTGGATAAACCATCCCAATTTTCATGGTCAACCAACCAAGGACTTCAACCCCCCAAGGCAAGTCAAGGTTCAAATCGACCACACAATCCTCCGGGATTTTCAGCAAGGTACTCACCATTCATACCAAAGTGGGCCAATCCCCACAATCTCACGTACCTAGAAAACAAAATGCATCAGAAAGCAATAATTCAATCGAATCATTGCTTAAAGGTTTTATAAACCAAACAAAAACAACTTTGAGAAAGTTTGTGACCCAACTCGGTTAGTTTGCTACCGACCTTAAGGTAGACAACTAGGGACTATACACCATGACCTAAGGGTATTCCAAAAGGGCATGTTAAAGGTGACTTTGAGAAGTGGTAAGGATTTGGAAGACACTGTGTCTAAACCAAACAACGGAAAACCAATCACACCACTTAGCCACGAGAAACACCACATCCTTCTGATAAGCCAAATTTTCCAACACTTTTCCCTTCCATAGTGGTGACGCAGAATCCAAATACTACACATGTTGTAGTTCATGCTTCAAGTTCTTGGGCACCAGAAATTCCAACACATCTAATGATCTAACCCACAAATGCCCACTCCGCAAACAGTCGTCAACGAAAAGGCAATCCAAAACCAACCCGAGCTATATCTGAGAGACCTCCCTTTTCCCGGTGGAATGAAAACCAAAAATGTAGACGTTTAATGTAAGATTCTTGGATGTCTTGATAGACGTTCAATGTAAGCAACTCCACATTAACATAGTTTTCGTAGAGGCTCTCAAGCAATTGCCAAATTATTTTAAATTTTTAAAGGCATCCTTAACAAGAAGAGAAGGTTGAGTGACTTAGAGACCGTAACTTTGACAAAAGAGTGTAGTGCTCTCCTCACTTGCAAAATTCCACCTCAACTAAAGGACCTAGGCAGTTTCACCATCCTTGGTAAGGAAGTTGGCCATGCCTTGTGACTTAACGGAAGCATAAACTCATGCCTTTATCAATTTTCAACAAGTTAGGAATAAGAGAAGTCTGAGATGCTGTTTGTTTTTTAAGAGGTGCTAAAGTCTGAAGTTTTATTTCATTTCTGATTGATAAGAGGTGGTGCTGAAGTCTGAAAACAAATAAGACTGTTTGTTTTTGTAAACCGACAAATGTCTAAATATGTATACTTGTCTATTTCATCCCTCAAAATGTTATATTGTTGAATTTATAAGACCATCAATTTCATTTTAACTAAAATATATTATTGTCTTTATAAACACATTCAATAATTCATGTCCATGTTTGTGCAAACTAGAGATGGCCGCCTCTCTTGATCGCTCGACTTACACACGATTTCCATGCATTCAACTCATATTACAGTGGCTTACCCCATGGAAGTGAGAAGGAGATTGGACTGAAGTGCCAAATGATGTTGTTACTTCCTTAGCAATTTTGCTAGAGGAGACCAGAGGCAAGCCCATGACTACGACTTCTTTTTCCTTGTAAAACTTGTGAAAAGCTTTACCATCCTTACTGTCTATTGAACAGACAATCCAAATTAATTACTTGCATCCACAACACTAAAGATCTAAGGCTCACATATCACATAAATTTAACATAACCTAGCTGATTTACATGCCTATGGAAACATGTCCACTATCTATCAGTTTTAAGCCTTCCAATCTTTGCAACAGCCTCTTCAAAAGAAACTGCACGTATTTCCAAGACTAAGCCAAAAGTCTAAATAACATAGGTAGCACAACCAACAATTCCTTGCAATTGGTATGAGGAATGAGATCCGAAGCCCAAAACCTAGAGTTATTTTGAATGGAAAGTCACTTCAATTTATTCTCTATTCCCATAGAACATATGAAAAAAAACAACACACGGTAGAGTTTAACATTAAGCATTACATTTATCCACATGATGATCCAAAATAAGCTATAACTTTTTTGTTATAACCATCCACTTCCAATCGGATGATTCAGAATAAAGTTTTGAAAAGAAAATCCAATTATCCACGTTCGTTCAAAATAGCCTGCACCGTCGTACAAATTGATCAAGATGTTCTATGTGCTGATATCCGGTACATATGGTCAGTTTTCCATAATTGCTAAAGAGATGTTCCACCTAGTGTCCTCCAGATAGCAAAACCAACTAGTCTTGTTTTGATTTGAACTTGTTCTTCCATATAGATGCTATAAACTCTTACAACCGTGTTAATGCTTGAAAGCCAATGGCGCTTGAGTGGCCTGCTCTCTTTCCTATTGCTCAAGTAATTCATCCACTTGTAATCTATAATGTTGAAGTTTTCCATATAATCTCTTTTCTTGCAACAAAGATGCAAGAGTTCAACTCTAGTCCCATTCGCCTAACTAGTGCTCAACACAAGTTAGCATGTCTACTGCTTGATGCTACTAAAAGATTACCAATAAAACATTAGAATGACATATAAGACCCCTTATCTGCAAAAAGAACAATATTAATATAACATGAATAAAGAACCATAAAACTCAAATGATCGATCTGCTCCGTGGCAGGGGTGACTTTACCCTCAACAGAGCGGGCCTCTTAGGAACCCCAGATAAAGAAAACAAAACTTTAGGTCTTAGAACCAGAGGTATCCTCTACCTAATTAGCTTATAGCGGGTGATGGCATCACCAAATTTAAAAACGTTAGGGATCATTTAAGGGCAGAAGATACGAGTTTGCAAATACCAATTTGACCCTTTGCTAGCTTCTAACGCCCACCAAGCCCTACCTTGAGAAAAGCTCACATAACTTATCTGGGTAAAGTATTAGATGGTCTAAAAGATCAAATCTTTATAACCTTTCTCCAAATTCTTGGACTTGGTTACTCAAGTTGAAGCTTTGAATCAACACAGACAAACCGATCACTTGAAAGTGCTAATATTAAGTCCTAGACCTAAAGATGGGTGGATTCGGAAATACGGCTCAAATGATGCAAGAAGATTTGAGAAAGTCTTTCATAACCATGTAGAGATACATGTTTTGCCATGATATGTGACTAAGGTTCAAAAGTCAGTCGAGAGTGGTGTTGCATAGATACATGAGCATTCTCTCAATGCAGGTAGAGCTAAGATTCCTTGAAATATACTTAGTTCGGTCGGCAAACCTTTAATTGGTAAAAATGATGACTCTGTGGAGAGATTGTGACCACTCACTGTTTACATTCGCTTTCAAGAGAGAACTTCTATAGTTGTTTTTGTGACCCAGACCATGTTAGTAGTACATGTTGTTACTAATGATCTCTTAGGTGACATTTACACTCATAGCCATTTTTTATTACTTGTTCAGATTTGGTTGTGATAAGCACTGAACTTGCTCAAAGATACTTCTTTTTCTCCAATTGAAATCATTGTATACTCGACCTAGTACTCGAATCACTGAAGTCTGATCCATCAGGATATGATTTCGGTATTTTTACCACTTTATTACTTGAAAGTGATCATAGTGATCGGTGTAAACTGCCACTGTGTGAACATATACAGTTTCGGCCATCATAGAGAGAAGTCCAAAAAACCCCAATGGACTTCCGATTTTGAGTGATTAAGCCCCCTTTTGGAACAAATAAATCCTTGAACTTCGTAAAATCGATTAAACCGGTGACAGCTATATTGGTAAACCAGTTTTAAAGTAAAAAGAAAAAGTCTAGAAAAAACCAATGGATTTTCTGATTTTGAGTGATCAAGTCCATAAACTTTTTTGAACAAATAAATTCCTGAACTTTCTAAAATCAATTAAATACATCATTTTGACCAAAAAAAAAGTTAGATTGATAAATCGGTTTTAAAAGTAAAAAAACTAAATCACTTAACCGGTAAAGGGAATGAGCACAACTTTTGTATGAGTCTATTCATGTTTTGGGTATAACTTTCGTATTCTTTGGAATTACTTATTCAAAGCACAGGATTTGAAAAGCATTATCCTTGAAAAATGCAAGAGTCCAACCCGCTAAACGTCAAGGATCAGCGGTGGAATACCATTAGTAATACCTCAAACCTAAAGCAACAAAGTTGCAAAATAACCTCCAAACCAACTATATCCATGGAGAGAAGTTCTTACTACACCACCATCAAGAACATACAAGGATCCTCAATTTATGCTTACAATCGATGTGGGATAGATGTCACATATATTCACGGAAGCAATAAGTAAGCAATTGTAGGTAGTGTAGAGGCTACTGAACCATTATAGGCAGTGACAGCTAGGTTGACGGTGATGGCTATGATGCATGGAATTTCTTATGATGGTGGTTGTAGATAATGTCAAGTTACTCTCCTTGTATCTTCTAGTAGCAGAGAAATAAGGTTGAGACAGGGGAATTAATACACCTCAGATGTGGGATGAGAAATTGAAACATAGAAGTTTGTGAGAAGTACTAATATGGCTGAGAGTGAGATTAGGGTTTTGAAACTAGTTTAGATGCAAGATGAGAATTTGAAAGATAGAATTTTGCGAGAAGCAACTATTAACTAACTGCAGAAGATTAGGGACTTTAACTTGATTGCACACAAATACACAATAACTAGTATATTAGAGAACTTTCTATTAAGACAAAACTCTGTTTGATAATTCAATCGTTGGGAATTCCAACTCTATTTATAATGGAAACCTTGATAATGACCGCAGGAAAAAGAACATAAACTAAAAGACCAAAAGGGCTTAAATGGATGAAATTAAAAATTGTCCCGAATATAATAAACTACCCTAAATCCCAATTAACAACATCAATTTCTAACCAATTGAATATATAACCCAAGTAAGGTTCTATATAAACTTATTTATTCCTTAATATCGAGATCCTCCTTGGTCATCCTCTTCATAGATGTATCATTTTACTTCATAAGCTAATTACATAGACAAGAACTTTTTATATGTATTGATGGAGAACATCGTCAAGTAACAAAATATAGCCTTGAGATACAACCAAAAAAGGAAGAGAGAAAACCTTGAGAATGTATTGCTTCATAAGTTTCAACCAAGCATTGTACGGATGACTGCTGAACTGTTCTCGCTTCAACGACATCTCCAAATCTCATCACTTTGACATCTATAAAACAAAAGACATGAAATGCAAACTCCCATTCAGCACTTTTGGCATCTAACAAGGATAATGCAAACATTTCCATTTTCATTATAACTATTTTTCTATTAATATGACTAACAAAGAGATACGTGTTAAGAATAGAAAACCCCATATGCCGATCTACTTAAGTTACCTACGAGTAATTGCTTATACCCACGCTGTTAGAGATCATTTTAATTGGTGTTCCATTTCATAATACATCACATTTCATTTACCTTCCATCATTAACAGATAAGAGGCCTTTTCATCGACCTGAAACGGACACCTCTTTTTCTTTATGTTCTTTAATGAATTCGTCTTCTTTTCCATCTCTCTTTTTGTTTCTTCAACACCACTTTCACTCTCCAAATTGATCCATCTTTATGGTGGTGGAGGTGGCTCGTGGTGGCGATGGACGGTGGTGGTCAGTGGCCGACAGTGGTTGTGGAGGTGGTAGAGGAAGTTGTTGTAGTGGTGGTGGCGATAGATGGTGGTTGTGGAGGTGATGGACGAGGTTGTTGTAGTGGAAGAAAATGTGGAGGGGGCTTACTTGTGGCTGTAGGTGATGACGGCGTAGCAGCGGTGACCATTAAAACAGTTAAATATCAAATGAGAGTAGATTAATGATATTTTAGTTTCTGTCTCATCCTTGTCCATCTTGTTCCACCTATTTTGGTAGAACAAAAAAAAGCTTTTTTTGTCCCACCGTGTCCCAGTTCTTGTCCCTGTCCCATGTCATGCCAAACGAACAATGAGTTCTTGTCCTATCCCATGTCGCGCCAAACATGGGATAGTGAGTTTTGTCCCATCATGTCATGTCACATGTACCAAACGCAGCCTCACAGATTGGTCATCAAGTTCTCCAATCGAAATCCCATGAGCATATTTATATTTGAAATATGCTAAGGGGTTGTTTGGTTCGCGGAATTCGAAGGATTTTCAAGGGAATTGGAATGATCAATTCCTTTGACCGAATTCTAATTCCTTAGTTTGGCTCACATATTGAAATGGATGGAATCCTTTGAATTCCACAAATTAATGAATTCATGATTCCTTGGCATAAGTGAAGGAATTGAATTCCATCTCTTTGCATCCGATTTTAACCAACACTACCCACCCCCTGCCCCAACAACGACCATGCTATTGCTATCACTTTCACACCCTCTAATACCCCCCACCACCACAGCACTATTGTCGCCATCACAACCCCCACCCAACCCTAACCCCCTAACCCACTACTGACCACCATACCACTACTGTTGTTGTTACTTACACCCTTACCCCACAACCCACACCTCGCCACCATTGTCATCGTCACAACTACCACCCTTACCCACCCCACCTAGGGGTGTTCGCGGTCTGGTTTGGGCGGTTTAACCCCTTAAACCACAAATCAAACCGTAATAGCGGCTTATAAAATTTTCAAACCGAGCGGTTTGACATCAAGTGCCCAGACCGGTCAAACCAGACCACGAAAAGGCGGTCTGGTCTGACCGGTTTAGGCGGTTTGGGCCTTTAATGGACTTTAAATATTAAACTTAAAAAACATATATAATATAGAATTTTAGATTAAATATCCATTTTAATAAAACAAAATATCCAAACAAATAAATATAATAATTAAGCAGCTCTTGAGTTTAAAGTCGAAGCAATCAAAAGTAGAAACAAATAAATATATAACATATTAGAAAACAAACAAATTAACAAAGTTACAACTCTACTCACAACCTTCAATGGTTCAATTCTTGAGTTTTGAGTTCTTGACCAAACAAAATAGAAGCCAAATCTAAGTTGGTTGAATCACTTGGTTGATGTCTTGATGATGTGCGCCGAAATCAAACCATGGATTAGAAAGATCAATAKATTGATGAAGTTCTTGAGGGATTTCAATATTTGGAGACCGTCAATATCAAATGTGTCGATATGTTCAATGGTTTAATGRTTTTAGTCRTCGATTTTGATTATGTTAGATGTTAGGCTTAGGGATATATTTGGGTCATAGTCAATAAGTTAAAAAAGTTGGGTTTGCTAATATAGATAAATAAATAAATATATATATATATATATATATATATATTTGGTGGTCGGTTTGGTTCAAACCGCCCAAAAAAGGTTCCAAACCGCAAATCGGACCGGACCGCCCGGTTTTGTTATTTTCCAAACCAGACCGGACCGCCAAACCGCTCAAACCGCCAAAAACGGTCCGGTTTGACTTGGTTCGGCCGGTTTGAGCGGTCCAACGGTTTTTTTGAACACCCCTAACCCCACCCATCACCATGCCACTACTATTGTCATCACAGCTGCCACCCCGCCCAACCAATACCACCTGGCCACTACTGTTGTCATCATAGTTGCTACCCC